ACGTAATTATATTATTTGTTTATAGATATGTTTTTAAGGTCTTTTGTCGGTGGTTCGATTTATTGCGCGGGTATTGATTTTTATTAATTCCTGAAAAACTTTTGTCACGTAGGAAAAGTCTTGAGGAAAGAGTTAGTTACTTCTCCTCACGGACACATAGATTTGAGAGTCGCTTTTCGTGGCTTTCGTCTTTATTTCTGTCTTTGAATCTGCTTCCAACTCTGAACTGCTCTCAACTCCACCTGAGCAGTTACTTCTTCAACTGAACTAAAACTGTGCTGCTTGCGCTTAAGTAGCAATGACAAACTTAATGAGATGACGTCAAGCAGAAGCTTGATTGACATCTCACACTATTCTCATTGGCTAGTCTAATACAAGCATAATAATTATCTAGTTTCCAATTCCCTAGGTGGAATTCAAATCTTTCCAAAATTATCATACTTATGGTATATGCAAACGTCCAGCAACTTAACCGTCGCTTAACTAAGTACTTTTTTATTAGCTATTGAGATGAGGTTAGGAGGATATTCGAAATTAACAGAGATTTGTCTGCTACAAAGTGGGGCTATCAGTCGATTACTGACAGCGCCCAGTTACTTAATATTCATTAGGATTGGGACATAGTATCGCTACCTAGACAACAAAATCTAAGCATAAAAATTATAGCCACAAATCCTGTTGCTTCTTCTGCCTATCTATCGAAATGTCAATCAACATTTGCCGTTTTTCCATTATCTTTGACATTTCGGCTTCTTTTTGTTTTGCTATTCCTATCTTATGTCAGACTTGCTGGCGTTCACTGAGCCACAGATGGTTTTTCTCTACTTATGGATTATTTATCATCGATTCCTTATTTACACTTTGACATTTTCGGTTCCTTGTTGTTTACCTATCCCTTTCTTATGTCGGACTTGCTGGCGTTCACTGAGCCACACATGGTTTTTTTCTACTTATGGATTAATTGTCATTGATTCCTTATTTACACTTTGCAAGCAAGAACAAGAAAACCATGGCTACTCTATTCAAGTTGGGCTCTCAAGGACACGGCTTAAAAACCGCTGATTGGCTAATTTAAGTTTCAACTGAGGCTGCGCATTATGCTTTTCATTTGAATTTATTTTTTAATACAAACTCAGCTAAGAAGAGGTGAGACTGTAACCGGTAAAGGATTCGCAAGTCCATGAACAGTTATCAAGCGGTTGAACGTGTAAAATGAATCTTCCCATAATCCTTGTGGGCCTCAGCTTTATAGCTTTTCATGTGACTAACTTTATTGAAATAAGTATATATGCCGTAGTTGATCAAGAAAACGAGACATGAGTGATACGATGTTCGGAAGATGGTGAATTGTCAGTTAATAAGATAGATTTTCCAACTATCAATCATACAAAAACGTATAAATATATTCAAGGGGCCTTAGGATTTTTTTACATTGGTTACGCAATTCTGAGGTTTTTAATGAAAATCCTTACTTGAAATAATCCATTATATTCATGGTAGCAGATATTTATCCTTCACATTGCTTCATAAGTTTACCCATTGTTTTTTTAAATCAAAATTTTAAATTTAAATTTCAAAATTTTAAAATTAAATCTTATAATTTCATTGTTTTTATCAGAGTTATTACAGGGGAATGGTTATGAAACCCGTTGAACACCAAAGCGGGATCTCTTTGTCATGGTTTTGACTTGGTCACGTGATCACGAGAGTGCACACAATCAGCTGTGATTTCGAAGCGTAGATCGAAGAGTAGTGACAACAAGCGATATATATATATATATATATATATATTATATTTATTATATAGTGAGTTTTACCTAGCTAGATTTATATTACACTATGCAAGGCCGCAACTGTGCGGTTTTTGACTGTGGATCGTGTAGACGAATCAAGGGAATTGGTATTTGGAAGTTGCCCTTAGCTGTGGACAAGAAACATCGTGAATGGCGCGAAGCTTGGCTTAGGGAGCTGAAAAAAAAACCCAGAGAGATTGACTCCGATTTTAGAGATCAGATAAAGAAGGACCGAGTCTACACCTGTGAGAAGCATTTTGCACCCGGAGATGTGGAAATATGTAAGTATTTGAAACAATGTTTACACGATCTCATCCCTCTGAACTTATAAGATCTCGTCTCTTAATCTTCGATCTTTTACTATTTTATTGCAGTTCACACCTACAAAACGACTCGAAGAAAGCCGAAATTCGGTGCATTTCCGAAGCTGGATATGCCTTCAAAAAGTATACAAACTTGCAAGCCATCGCCGACACCAGAGCGTCGCCCCGTCCAACCAGTTGAGGCTACTATTGTCAGCATTAATGCCTGCTGAAGGACATTCTCCGAACTCTGCCATAGAACCAAGAATTTGAAATCTCTGAGCGAGTGGAATTTAAAAGTGATGCCGGACCGTTTTATCCTCAAGAAAGAAGCAGATCTCTATCTCATTCCTAAGTTTGGGTCTAGCATTTACTGTTAAAGTGTTTGGGGCCAACTTGGTGAAAGATCGCCCTGTACACACCGATAATCTTCGCTCCATGCGAAATTGTGACTATTTCTAATCTCTCTTAAGGGATTAGAAAATTACGAACTTTGTGATGGAGTTATTGCAACCGAATACTGACTGCTCAGTTATATCACCATGTTGTCCCTATTGTAGTCATTGACCAGATGGACGACCAGAATGATAAGATGCAGCAGTTTCCTCATGAGGGATCTTGGAAAACTATGGACTGTTTACTAATATGTGAACATAATTTCTAATAACATAATGTCTGTGAATCCTGCTCTTGGCATTGTTTATCCTCTGAAAAGGCAAGAAAAGCCAAGGAAAACAGATAGTCAAAGCCTGTACACATAAAAGCACCTGTGTCTAAGACTGACCCAGAGAGGTTGAGGTTAACTTTGCAAGGGCAAAGACTGCGCTGGACACAGCTTGAAAGGGAACTGAATGAAATGAGAGCGGAATTACAAAGTACTAACCTTGAGGTTGACCACAAACTGAGTAATGACCTAACAAAGATCCTTGGTTCAGGATCTCCATTTATGAAGTTATTTTGGGAACAGCAGCAGAAGCTATTTTCTAGCAGCCCTAAAGTAGTGCGCTATCATCCCATGATTATAAGATTTTGCCTCTCCCTGGCTACTAAGTCACCTTCATGCTTCGAGGAACTAAGGAATAGTGGGGTGCTAGTTCTTCCAAGACAGCGCAG